TGTTTAGATTAGACCAACAGTACATACAAATAAACGCTTCCGGACTGACACATATTCACAGCAGCGACCGAGACAGACATAAACCAATCCTCAGTCTTACCATTTAATAAATCAAAGAGACATTCAAAGACATGTCACACAAAAATATACCTTTTCCACACTGCCGTTAAGTCTTTCAAATCAGATTTTAAAAAGTGCCCAAGCCCACATCGTGACTTTAGCACCATGTTGTTTGACACAAGCTTTATTGTGTATTAAAGCAAAATGTAGAAAGTCGGGATAATAAAAGTCTTGAAGAATACTACTGCAGACTACACATAAAAGCTTTTCTGTGAGCACGGAGTGATTTGAACTAAAGAAAATCAGATCTTTAGAATAATCTCTTTGAAATGACAACTTTAACAAAAGACACAGGCAAACAGACAGGACACATCCAAGCACCTTAGAGCATTGTAGCGGTAATGATAGGCAGGCGAACAGTGTACAGTACAATGCAGCATTCAGTCAAACAGATAGCTGCTGAAAGCTGCACTATCACCTTAAAACTTAACAGACATGGATGCATGTATTTGCAGCCTAACAGGAGACACATTTTAGACATGAATTGGAATAAATGGCAGGACAAAGAATGAAAACCACAGAATCACATTCTGCTTCTGTACCTGTCCACTGCAATAGTTGTTTTTATCAAAAATGCATTGTGATGAAACGAGCATTGTTGTCTCAGCAAACATTATTTAATTCTGTTTTGTTTAAATGTCCACTCTCATCAGTTTTGTTCTGTTTGTTAGAAAGATTTCTGAAAAATAATCAACCTGATTTAAGTGAAAATATGCCTTTTGACCAGAGTTTTTATGGCCTGTGACCCTACCCATGAGCTCTCGTTAATTGCCGTCTACATATACTGGTTGTGAGCATTTCAATAAAACCGATGTTCCCTTCTCAGATCTTTTTTCACAGCAGGCATTTTCACTTGTCATATTAAGAAAAGCACAGGTTAACTGATACAACAATTGCTACGTTCTATTCAAGTGCAAGTAAGTCATGACAATACCAGGACCCTGAAACTGAAGCAGCTAAATGGAATCCAGCCATCATTCATTTTATTATTTAATTACACCTGCCATTACCTACTGTGACATGTTTCTGACAAGGCGTCAGTCAAACTTCACAAAAAAGCAAGTACATGCAATGTCTGTAGCAGATGCTACCATGTCCAACTTTAATTTTTTATGTGACGTTGGGTGTCCTGATCCCTATATTGAGAACCATCAGGCTGTTGTAGTTTTGGTTATTTTGTGTTTTGGTGTTACTATTATCCTAGCATTTGTGACATCGGAACAGTAAATTCCAGTTTGCAAAGGGAATTATTTGCTTTACTTAAAATTAGCATCAGGGTCACAAAGTATTGCATTAAGTTAACACTAACACTAATTAAGCAGAATATTTAAATGTGATAAATCTCGCATAGCCAGACCCACAGCACTGTGTCAGCTCTTATTGTGACTGATACGGTCATGGTATACAGAGAAGAGGTATACTTCAATGTGAACAGTCGGCATACTTACAGTAATCATTAAATTAATACACAGTATGCCATACATACTGATTGAGCATGGAGAAGGCTAGGATTTCGAACATACTCAATGTGACTGTTAAGAGTCCAGAAAAAGTGTTGGAAATCAATCAGGTTTACTTAATGTGAAGTTCCTACTTTAATGTTTTCCTTCTACTATTCTTCTACTAAACTTTGTATTTCCTGCCTCCATGCCTCCCTTTCTGTCTCTCACCTCGTGGATTTCACTCAAACATTTTCACCACCTCTCGACTGCATTCTGCTCCTTATGAATATGTGCTTGTAATTCATTGTCATGTATCTCCACAGTATTGGTATTGGATAAGATGATTCATCTTTGAACTTGCTGTGATCTCATTCACACCTGAGAATAGAATGGGTCAGCTCTCACTCTTTTTCACTCACTTGAGTCTGATTAATATAAATCCCATTTCAGGTTTTGGAATATCTATTGTACTTGTTGAATAATTTAAAAGGAAATTCCAATCACACTCATGCAGATACATTTGTGATACGTAAACTGTGTGTGTCTGTGTGTGCACACACTACACAGTAGACTCAAACACATACTGGCACCACATTTACCCTTTTTTCTATCTAGTCTATGTTCTCTTGCTTCATCTTGGCTTTTCACACTGTGTCAGTTCCCTGGTGGCACCCACAGATCTGCCGGCCCCCACTGATTTCCCTTGGTGTTTGAGAAAGATATAGGGAGTTAGCTGTAGGCAACAGCACCGTGTCCCACCAGCCTGTTTGATGAAATCAATCCACAACATGTGTATCTGTGTGCACTTTCTCTTTCTCTGTCAATCTTTGTGTTTTACCTCATAGTCACACTCTGTTTCTTTTCTCTTTTTTTTTTTGGGAGCACCACACATACTGTATGTACAACTCATTATGTCAGTAACTTGATAGACATACGCTGTGTTTACAGACTCTCTCTGCTGTCGCCATCTTTATTATATCATTTTCCCCTTCATCCTGTCTGAGCTGGTGTCATCCAGCAGCACAGCAGATGGGTCCAAGTGATAGCGAGGTAATGGCGGTCCTGCGCATTCACATCCATCCCTCCATATAACCATCGGACGCAGTTAAGATTGATTGAGCCTTGGCTCCTGCCAGAGGATGAAGCTGATAAAAGAGGGCAATGAGTCTTCAGTGAGGCCACCCACATGATATCATGTTATGATTAAACACAACAGACATCAATGCTAGAGTTATACCCAGCCCCATTGTCCCATTACGGAATGCTAGATGTTTATCATGTAAGTTGATTGATGCTGATAGTGCGTTGTATTTCGGACTGACGAATACTTATTGGCTACATGATACTCATTTGCGAGTAGAATTATGGTATCTGATGAAGACAGTGAGGATTGAGAGGGTCAGCTTGACTCTGATATCACATAAAACATGTAATATGATTGTGATGCGTCCGGGAGACCTCGGTTCGCCAGTGGAATGAGATCATAATTCACTGAGATCTGTTCAAGATAACCAATTTAGTCATCGTTTTTAACACCCTAATTTGCTGCCAGTTAGTGTGTCTGTGTGTGTTTATGCGCACGCTCACCGAGCCATCTTTAGCAGTGGCTTTCGAGGTGTGAAGTGGAACAGCGTATAGGTAATGAAGGAGATGGGACTGTGTAATTATTCTGCAGAGGAAGGATTACTGGTTTACTTAACCATTAATGGTTCACCTTGAAGTGCAAATGCCAAGGGGATAAAAACTCACACCTCTCTGCCCCTCATTAACTTCAACTGGACTAAAGACGCTTGGCTCTAAGCCACCGTTATTTAATGTAGACTTTGCATATTTTCCAGTAACCCTTTTGTGTCTTATTTGAATAGTTTAGCTAATGCCCTGTGGCAAAGTACTGTTGGGTATTAGGGAGAAGCATGAAAACAGATCGATGTTTATGAGCCATGCTACGCAGGGCTGCTATTTGATTTTTAGGAGAATGTTTTGTTAAGTATGTGGGTCAAGAAAGAATCACAAGAGGTTTCTTGCCAGACAACACATTAAACTTCAGTGGGTATAATCATTTAAGAAAAGAATAACCTTAAGGTAACCCAGACAGGATTCATACAAGAAATGCTTTTGCCTGCTCCCATATTTTTTATAAGCTGAAAGCAGAAGCAGAATCATATCATCATCCACGTCGATTTGTTGTGTCATTTTAGAATTATGGTGTATTATTAGGACCACAATCTACGGAATATAGTTCTCTGCTGTTTATAGTAAAGAATGACATCCTGCCATTTAAATTCAAATTCCACATGCACAATCATCCATCCTGCATATCAGAGTGTGTCAAACTTCCACGCTTATCAGAAGTATCCATCTGTGTCCCACACACACTGTCTCATCAGAATGCAGTCACGCATCTCTCAAAGAATGAGTCAAACTTAGAGCTTAAACGAATTGAAGAGGTATTCAGCTGATGATAATTTAACCAGATGTGTCTGACTGCAAGCTGATGACAGCAAGAACATGAAGCACTGGATGGAGAATACAGTTTATTGACAGCTCTGGATGGAAAACACTACTCAGAACACACACAACCTAACACGGTCTATATGTGTGTGTGTGTGTGTGTGTGTGTGTGTGTGTGTGTGTGTGTGTGTGTGTGTGTGTGCGTGAGTGTGTGTGTGCAGGGAAGCATATGTGGATTGAGTTGTCTTTCCTGCTAAATCTGTGCTAGTATATCTCATCATTGCAAAGAGACAGAGATTGAGGGTTGAGGGTGTGTCAAGGATTGCCTCCTATTTCTGCTCAGCTGCAGCGGGCAGGATTTCCATTTTTGTTCCCATTAACAAATAAAATGCACCATGCTGTTAGAGCTGACATGAGGGAGAAAACACATTAATAGGAAAGGCTAACTTTTTAAGTGGCTGTCTGGGCAGAAGTAGTTTGAAATTGCGCTTTTCATACACCTGCTGCTATGATTGCTCTAATTTTAGGAATGCAAATACAAACACAATGTATATTGTAATCTGTGAGAAATATCACATAGACAACAAGCTACACTCACTTTGAGAAACTGGTTAAACTGTGTCAGGATGAACATATGTTCTGGAAATTATTTTAATGTCTTCGCGAGCTTAAAACAGGCATTTATAACCTTTAGTTTGGATCATTTTTTTTACAGGCGTCTGAAAGGTGTACCTGTTCCATATGTTTCATTAGTTCAATTTTTGAGATTTATTTCAGGTGCCTTTTTCCTCCTTTTTGTTTACTCAATGAAAAATGCAACCATTAAGACTGAATTGAATCCAATCTGTTTTACTGTTAACGCATCGATCTCCAGAGTAATAAAGCAACTCCTGCTGTATCCAGGAGGATCTTTTATTCTTGTAAAAATATGACATCATTTGGCGCTTGAGTTCATACTTAACCCTGTCTGTCCACTGTCTTCTCCAGGAACCACAGTGATGACAATGATGGCGTTCGACGCCGATGACCCAGCTACGGATAACGCAGCACTGCGCTACAACATTGTCAGGCAGTCACCAAACAATCCTGTCTTGAACATGTTCTCCATTGATGCTGAAAGAGGCGACATTGTCACCGCCATTCCCCCTGCCTTGCTCGACAGAGAGGTGAGTTGACTTAACAAATGTGTATGTGTGTGGTCCTTTTTTCAAGTGGAACAGAGTGTGAGTTGTTGCTGGACAGGTTCTTGTCACAAGCCTTACAATGCATGTCACTTACATGTCACTAATGCTGCCAGTGAGCAGAATGAAGAAACTGTGTATATACAGTATGTGCGTGCGCCATATGCAACCTATATGTTCTTGTGTGTGTCTTTGTGAGAATGAGTGCTGGTGTATTCCCGCATGCAGACGCAGAAGCCAGATGAGTGTCTCTCCATTTCCCCGTCTAACCGGAGCGAGACAACGGGATGATTGCTTTTTCAGCAGTGTGACGAATGCCAGAACATCGATTGGGTTCGCTGGTGGAAGAGGAATATTAGCTGTTGTCAGACACTTAGCGCATAGTTTAATTGAGGTGATACACACTCATCCGCTGGCTCTGGTGGTGTCCAACAAGCCTGGCTGAAAACCTCCCATCCGGAACTGCTGAAACCATGGCGGCTAACCGCCCTGATGAGCAGCTCCCCGAGCTACTGTAAACTGTTTAATAGAGGCGTAATTGATTAAAAGTACGGTGAAATGAGATGTAATCAATGAAGTAAGAACTGTTGGTGCTGGTTTTTGTGAAGTGATTGAGAGATTGAATGTTTCAGCCGATGTGTGTTGGTCTTTGAGGTTTGGCCTCAGTGACCGAAATGTGAGACTTTTGAAGCATATCACTTTCAGGATATTTCAAAAAATAACACTCCACGAGGAGAAAAAAAAACGGTAGCAATACTCTTCCACCCGCACGCAGCCAAGATTTATTACAACCACTAACAGGCTGGTGTTAGAATATGCAGTTGAATGCCTTTGAAGATGGCACATTGCCAAATTGTCAGCCTGTTTGTGGCCTCAATAAATCTCTGAAAAAAGCAGATTCTTTCTATCACTTTTTTTCTCCAAAGGCAATATACGCTTGAAGTTATTAGTAAGTCCTTCAAAGTCACCAAGATCTGAGACTCCAGTCAGTTGTCTCTATGTGTTTGGTAGAATTACATTGGAGTCATGTTTGATTATTTCACTTACGCTGCTGATTTAATGAGCACCTTAGGTGGCGGCTGCACTGGGTTTGTCCGGACACATTATTTTCAGTTAATTTTCAATGGGAGCTGTCTGGACAGGGCTGATTACACACCTGTTCCTGTCAGATTTCCACCTGTGATGTACAGGACATGGAGAGATTGTTGTTATTGTTTGTCGAAATTTTTTAAGTTTGTTGAGACCTGCATGGACACAGGCTGTACTTGTTGTGGTGGTAGTGGGTCACTAATGTTTGAAAGGTTGTTTGCAGTCACGTCATTCCGATCACATACAGATGGAGGACAGGAAGTGAAAAGCAAAATGGAGATGGAGGTGGAGAAAAGTTCATGCTGTGCTGGTTTAAACAATATTACGAGAGACAGAGAAACAGCAAATCCTAGCATATGTTGGACGTGATTCTTATGTTATGAAGAGGAGCAATTTTCAACTGAATTGAAAGACTTGCCCTCTCTGACGGGGAACTGAAGTCGTTACATTGCTCTCTTCAAAGCCACCAGACTCCTTTGATAAAAACAGCAATTTTACCTTGCAGAATACGGTTCCTGGTCTACTGCTGCCTCAGTCCACTGGTTTGTTTGTGTTATAGTGTGACTGCGGTGATCCAAACTAACGAGTTAACACCAAAGTATGTCTGGTGACTTTGAAGAGAGGATAGATGGATATAACAGCTTCAGTTACCTGTTGGAAAGGGCTGTCTGACACCAAGATAAAGTGATGAAAATATTCTAAATATAGTGTACACTTAACCTGACATAGATTTTTTTTAAAAGCTATGCTTTGCTGCTGCCACATTCACTAAAGTACTCGCGAGCCATTTTTTGGTCAATTTCTTGCATTTTACCCCCTTATACACTATAACTTTTGGTACTCAATAAAAAGCTCCCTGTGGTTTCTTGGTTTGAAAAATTAGAGCAACAATGCAAAACAGGCATTGTGAGTGTTTGTGACAGTGCTTCCAATGTAGAAAATCCCTTCCTGCCCTCCATCTGCAGTCCATGCCACAGGAACACAGTGATGTGACGTCATGTGCAAACAAGCTATTGTTGTGGAAGTCCCTAAAATCTCTTTCTTTTCAAATCCGGTCAAAGCCAAAGAAGTGAAATCCAATGGGGTGTTTTTTTCTTCTCCCAAACAGGAAAATAGCTATGACTAATCCAAGTCTGTGATACCAGCCCTCACTGGTATTAATATGATTGCAGATGTGGCCACTGAAAAGCTGTATAAGCCTGGAGCGCCATGTATGATTGTCTTTATGTTGTATCTACAAGTATCTATTCCCCCTCATCCCCACACCAACATAATTTATTAGTGTGCTGGATTTCGCAAATACGTCTTAAGGGGGTTTAGCAATAGTCCAGCCGCAGTGCAGCATCTCTGTAAAAGGAAAAAAAAGTGAGACTTCTTGAAAGCACAGTCAGTCAGCAGAGCCAGATGGAAGTGCAGAAGGCATAAGTTTTAAACTGTCCTCCTCCAGGTCTGGAGAGATTTAAACCCAGCCACTTCAGCACATTCTCATAAATATGGCTCCGGCATGACACCCATCGATTCCATCTGCCATCCAGACTATAGTTTTTGAAGACAGCATGTCCAGCATATGTGTGTGCACTGTGTTTGTGACAGAATAAGAGAGAGAGAGAGAAAAGGGTGGTTTACACACCAAAAGAAAGGAAAAGCGAGAGACAGCCAAACTTTGCCCCTCGTTCTCCAAATTTCTCAGACATAATTCAGGTGGAGCTTCAAGTCTATTTGGATAGACACCTCACCCACCCTGGGGAAGCAGAAAGCAATCCGGAAAAAATTGGACAATCAATTTTGTGACATTGAAATCAGTTTGATTTTCCCTCTAGTGCTTTCTCTGAGGCGTAAAATCCTGTCTTGATATGCACATTTATTCCACCGCTCTGTGTTTTTCTCCTCACTTTACTTTAGACACACGTCTCTGCTCACTGTCTTATATTATTCTGACACGCGACGCGGTTGGATCAATGGCAGGCTGTAATTTTTGACAGCTAATATTGCTGGGGGTATGAGGCCATTTTCATAAGTCTGAAAAGATGGAGGAGTGTTCGTATCTCTCACTGGATACACGTGGAAATCTCTCTTAATCATCAGTACTCTGTTAGAAGAAATCAATCTGCTTTACAAAACTGTCCGTCTTAACCTGTTTTATGAGAACATCTGAAAATTTCTACTTATGAGCTGAGGCTGTGCAGTGTAGCTACCTCATGTAAACACTTACTCATACTGCACACACTGGAATTTAAATCTGATTAAGTCTAACAGGGAATAAATTTGACTGGTAATGTGAAGGAAAAAGGGCTGAAGTCTCTCTCCAGTATTAATAAGCGTCTTCCACCCTCTTTGGCCTATGTGAAGACAAGCGTATGGCAGCTTGACAGAGGCAGTGTGTGAGGTGTTATGTTATCTTTCTGAAAGATGGAAAGGAATTATGTTCTGCTCCTGTGTGTGATAAGCTTGCGTATCTGTGAGTGTGTGTTGGTGAGAATAACTTGTCTGCGCTTAAATTAATAAATCAGTTTCTCTGAGAAAATATCACAGATGTTAGTCAGGGAGCAGCTTCCATCATTGAGGCTGAAGACCGCCCTGCTGATCCCGCTGAACACAGAAAACTTAATCCCAGTATCAGCCGGCTGATTTATCAGTCAAACCCTAGTTTCTTCAGTCAACTGTGCTTTCATGCACCACCTCCCATTGTCACAGCCCGACCGCAGTACATCCTTTTCAGGGGCTTGTGAACTGGAGGAGCTGGAGATGTGACTCAGAAAAGAATCGGGGAGAGCTGGGAAGATGGAGGCAGGCAGGCAGGCAGGCACGGTAAATTTCCTTCTAGTCTACTGTATAAAATAACAAGGCTCCACTCAGTGTGCTCAGGTCTACTCATGTTATTCATTTGCAGTAAGCTACACTGTAAAGTAACTTTTAACAAGCATGTGCACGCATGTATACGTATTCCATTCTTATATTCTGATTTATATTAAGGCATGATGAATATTAATCTAACAGTCAACACGCACAGAAAGATGTGGAAAGTTTGCCTTGTTGCAGAGAGAAGGAGGGGGGCGTCCTGAGAGGTAATAAGACACACTAAAGAAGAAAAATGAAAGAGGAGTGCTAAGGTTATTGGCTTGAACTTCATGCAGAATATATACAGCGATAGAGTGATCACGTTTCCTAGACATGCACATGGACACGGACATCTGTCGTGCCACACACACACACACACACACACCAATCACTGTGATCTATTTCAGTCTATGGAGTGTCCGTGCGCAGGCAGGCTGTAACCAGAGAGGACAGACTGCTAATGGCAGTGTGACTTTCTGACTCTCTAATGCTCTCTGGCCAATCTGGGAGCTGTCACTGCTAAGGATAGCCAATCGATGAAGTCGGCCGACCCCTCCATCCCCTTCCATGTTCTACAAAGGTGAATTACATGGAGATAAAATGGATGCTGGTGTGTGTGTGTGTGTGTGTGTGTGTGTGTGTGTGTGTGTGTGTGTGTGTGTGTGTGTGTGTGTGTGTGTGTGTGTGTGTATTGTTGAATTGTGATGTTTATTTTCAGGTACATAAAACTGCATGTTTCTCTCATTTTGAGTTTTGTTCTTCCCCCCCCTCCATCTCCATCTTTAGAGGTGTGTTGTGAGTGCTTGTTAAATCTATTTTTTTTTCTGTCAGACAGAAAGCACTTCTTAACAACCAATACAGTACAACAACATGTTTTATTTTTACCCGAAGGTGACTTTGAGATGGAAAAGCAGTGCTTAACAATCACTATTGGAAAAAGATTTGCACCTGAAAAGGACAGTCCAACAAAAGCACTATTCTTCAGTCTGAGTGAGTTGAGCAGTATGAAGCTTGTCGGACTGTATACACATACATTCTCTGTTGACAGCATGGGTTAC